GACGGCCTGGGAGAAAGAAACGAACGAGGCAACAGATGCTGCAATAGACAATTTGCTACTGACATTAATCTATATATAATTATCACTATCTTCAAACACCGCCTACGACGTTTGTAGCTGAATGCGGATCCGACCATAATTTACTCTGGGCAAATTTTAAGATCAAATTGAGCAAACGAATATCTAAAGCAAAGACCAAAAGAATCAGTGCTCCTGAACCAATAATCTTTCAAGAGACCCTCAGAAACCGCGGACGTCTCCAACTGAAAGGAGGCTCGGATTAAATCTTTGAGAAATTTATTAATGAAGCAGCTGACAGCATACCAAACAGCTCAAATAAAGCAAAACATCAACATTAGATATCAAACGAAACACTGACATTAAAAGAAGAACGTCGGGCTACGAATAGCAGGGATAGACCGACAAAAAGAACAGCTAATAAAAAACATAACAGTAAAATAAAATCTTGCTGTGGAAGAGTCAAAAACAACCACATGGACAGAATATGACGACTCGACTGAGCTCTATGGTAAAGTAAAATGCTCGGCACGAGAGTTCAAACCCAGGACACAGATCATCAGGAACAACGAGGGCAATGTAATCACGGATGCAAAAGGCATTGTTAGTGTGTCACGGACGTATTGCACAGAGCTCTTCCAAGAACTTCCAAGATGACCTGCAGTCCGACCCCGGAGACCTCGGGGAGAACAGAAAAACTCGAACCAACAATACTTAGAGAGCAAGTGGAACAAGCAGTGAAAAAACTGCGAAATCAGAAAGCACCAGGTTGTGATGGAATCACCGCTGGAGTATTGAAAAACAAGGGCGAATTGGAGATATCCATCATACGTCATAAGATCGGGGCGACTGGGATCAGAGCAACATTTTCATGCCTTTATATAAAAAAGGTTTTCCTCTCGACTATGGAAACTATCGTACGATTGCCTTAATTCCGCATGTCAGCAAAATCATGCTCAGGATTCTGAACGGCTGAAGAATTTTCTCCTCAGACAAATACCAGTCGAACAGACTGGATTTGTTCCAAGGAAAGAAACCCCAGAGTAGATCTTGAACGTTCGACAGGTCATTGAACAAACCAGGGAGTTTAATGTTAAAATGCTCATATGTTTCGTGGACTACAGGATGGCTTTTCACGAGATAAAATAGTCGAAGCCATTAGGGAGATTCTTGAAGAGTGGAATGGTGTCATTGCTGTTGACGGCAGAAAAATTAACAACCTTCGGTACGCGGATGATACCCTGATAATAGCAAAAGACGAGCATGAACTCATTAACATAAGACTGGAAATCAATAATTCAAAGACTAAAGTAATGATTGTTGATCGTGCTAATATCACGCACACAGCCCTGATATTACAGATGTCACTGGTTATCGGGCTGTACCAATACCGGAGATTGAGAAACTCAGCAGCGAAACTCACTCGTATCTGGAAAAACACTTCCTTCACAATTAACACGAAGCTCAGGCTTATATGAACTCTCATTTTCCCCATAGCGACTTATCCAGCAGAGACGTGGACAATGAAAATGACACCGTCGCAGAATTGATGCTCTAGAAATGTGGTGCTATAATGAATGCACCGAATTTCATGGAAAGCACACCACACCAACGAATCAATTTTGAGACAACTGCGAATCAAAACTAGACTATCCACTTAAGTCAACCAGCAGTATTTACAATACTTTGGACACATTGCCAGTTCAGTGGCAATGGAGAAGCTGATCATAGAAGGAAAAGTACATGAACCAAGACCAAGACGACGTTCACCGTGGCGATAGGTAGATCAAATGAAAAATCTGATAGGAGAGAGCCTGCAAGATGCAATACGCCACCCCAAGATAGAGAATTATGGAGGCAAACGATTGATGAACTTCCTACATGATGCCACCGCACCCCTTCGAGGGGCTTACGGACGACAAAAGAACAGTAGCTCGAAAATGCTACGTTACGGATTTACAAGGTTTGAACACAATTTCACACATTTTGAAAAAGTTTTTAGGGCCAAAATATACCATCAATTAAAATATTTGGACTCTTCAATGATACACCATGTATAATGTTACAAAATATTTATTTGCAACGTTTAAACAACATTTAGCGCAACGTTTCAGTTACATTTCCTTGAAACGTTTCAGCAATGTATCAGCGAAACGTTTCTGAGGGCGGACATTTTCAGTTACATAAATGTCTCTGAAACATACATTGCATACATATATATAACTGAAACGTTTCGAGATTCAAATATACGTTTCTGAAACAAAGAATTGTTTAGAGGGATTACACCAACGTATCTACAAAACTGCCAACCAAAAACCAAAACTGCTCTTAGAGATCACTTTGAAAATGAACAACATACATGTATGTTGTGTATTTTTAATAGATCATATGTAGAAATGCATTTGATCTTAATGAAACAAAAATAATTGACAAACTATATACAAAAACGATTGATCAGTGATGGTGGATGAACATCCAACTTTTGGCTTAATTTGTGGACCATCTAGGATTTTTTTCGCTGAAACTGCTTAATTTGAAGTGTTCTTTAACGAAAAAGCCAAAAATTCGGAGAGACTCAAAGGACACAGGCACCTCCCACTAGATAGCGCGAATGCATGATCAGGAAATAATCAATATGTCACTGACATAGATACCTATATTCACATAACAATAGAAACAATGTAACAAAACAATGACTGTACAGGTATTTACAAAAATCATCCAAAGTCTAGCCTATCTGAATTTCTGTAAGTCTTCAATTCTGTTGTTGAAGTTTTTCACTTACCTTTTGCTCCATATTGTCCTCGCGGCTAAGCCCTTTCTCACATTTTTTTAATTTGGGAAAACAGCAACAGGAACTAGTATCACCCTTTCTTTTACTTTTGGCTTCAATTGCTACGGGCATTTTTTCTACACCGGTTGCAATATTCGATCGCAAACAATTCTGATAGAAAATAGTAAAATTTGCTCCTTGGCATCAATTCGAGATTTTAAAAATAGTCAGAAAGAAACAGTATACACCAACTTGTTATCAATGAAAATGTATTTTTAGGTATGATACTCGGTCACTCCATTTCAAACTAAATCAATATCCTATGTTTATTGTTGTGAAATGGCCACACTAATGATAACTCATAAACCTAAACGAATGACTCATAAAGATGTTTGCTAAGTGATTAAAATGGTGTTATTGCGATGATGCTTGACTTGTTACAGGTATGTTGCAGAATTCAGGGTCAATAGCGCAATTAACATCAATTTATTCAGGAATCTAAGTATATATACAGTAGTATATCAGGTTGTATATAAGTTCTAAATAGCCGAGGTGGTATAAACTTACAAAGATTTGTACTTGCTTATTTTGCTTCACAGTTTTAAATTAACTTTTAAAAGGTCCAATTTTCTCACGGACTTTAGTTGTTGACTATAAATTGATAACGAGGGATTTTATGATTTTAAGGATGACTTTAT